AATAAATCTGAGGACTACAACTACAACTAGATTAGTTAATGTTCTCATGTGCCACATTGTTGAGATTTCGATTTCAAGATCCTTGTGTTTTGATAGTTTTTTTTTTTTTTCTAACATCTTCAGAGATAAAATACAGTCAGCAGGGACAGCCACGTCAGTAAGATACATTTTATCTTTCCGGTCTCTGATCACGATGTCTGGGTGATTATTTTTATTGTTCTGTCTGTGTGTATTGTAAGGATACATAAAATTGTTACAGGTCTTAACTCAGTAACCTGGTCTGGGTGGGGTTCAGACCAATTTATTGCACTTTCTTTTCAGCAAAAATTTCAGATGATCTAATGCAGATGCTGGACCACTCTGTCATGACAGATTTTATATTCAGTTGGCGACATCATTATTATTATTATTATTATTATTATTATTATTATTATCATTATTATTATTATTTCCTTTGATTTCTGGCGTGTACACATTTCTTTCCGGGTCCCGCCCAGGGACCTAAGCTTAGAAATGGCATCATGACACTTTCCACTGATAAAAACAAAAAAAAAATACATAGATAAAGCCCTTCGTAAAGTGTGTGCTGTACTTATCAGAACAGTTATTATTATTATTATTAAAAGCTTCTGACCAAAAATATTTTATGGCTATCGCTTAGAATCACGATCAGACGATCATGTACAATATCTTTACTGATAATGATGTTGTTCTGATCTGAAACATCAAAAATTGCCCTCAGTTTCCTAATTCCTTTAATCCATCGAAGAACATTTCCTTTGGCTACAGGCACCTCTGCATGCCATCATTTGCGCAAGGCTTCCAGAACAATATTGATCAATCTTCTCAGACACTTTTAGCTTCATCCTGCGATCCGCAGGGAAATACGCTTCCAATCTCTGACATTATTATGAGAGAAATCGTTTTTTTTTTGTAACTTTAGAGATATCAAATTATCGAACTTTACTTCTGATAGCAGGTGTAGTAAGAACACCTATAGTTAGGTACCCAGCATGATAAGGTGTCGTACAGCGTCAAAATCTCAGTCATACCATCTGTTGTCTATAACAAGAAGACAAGCCTAAAGTTTCGCAAGTGCAATTGTTTATTACATGGAATAGCATCCATGGAGTGGGGGACGTTAAAACACATATTGACATTAAATTGAGGTACATTTATCGAGAATGTAACAATAACCAGTAAAGAAGGTGTATATCATTTATATTTTAATCTATCTATCTATCTATCTATCTATCTATCTATCTATCTATCTATCTCATTCTGCTCCTTTCTTTCTTTCTTTCTTTCTTTCTTTCTTTCTCCAATTCTTCATTATCTATATATATATATATATATATATATATATATATATATATATATATATATATATATATATATATATATAAACCTATTTATCTGAAAAAGTCTGAACTATCTGTTCATATCGATCTATGCATCTTGCTATTTATCTATGTAAATATCTTCTGATTTATCTATCTATCTATCTATCTATCTCAGTCTGATCTATCTATCTGTTCATATCTATCTATCCCGCTATTTAACTATGTATGTAAATATCTTCTCATTTATCTATCTGTTCATATCTACCAATATAAGTCTCATCTGATCTATCTATCTATCTATGTCTGGTTATTCATATCTATCTATCTCTCGTTATTCATATCTATCTATCTATCTATCTATCTATCTACCTATCTATGGTTATTCATGTCTATCTATCTATCTATCTCTGGTTATCCATATCTATCTATCTATTTATGTATCTATCTATCTCTCGTTATTCATATCTATCTACCTATCTATCTATATATGGTTATTCATGTCTATCTATCTATCTATCTATCTATCTATATCTAGTTATTCATCTCTCTCTCTCTCTCTCTCTCTCTATATATATATATATATATATATATATATATATATCTATATATATATATGTATATCCTGTTTATATATATATATATAATCATTACTTTTTAAAGATATGATGAATCACTTTTAAAAAAAAAAACATTTTTTAAATAATTAAAATGGCTCAACTTATGTATTGATCACAGTTTTTTTTTTAAATAGTAACAAAAATACTAAAGAACATTGGATTATTAACCTAACGGTTCTTTCCTATATTTCTATATTTGCGCGCGCGTGCTCGGACACACACACACACACACACACACATATATATATATATATATATATATATATATATATATATATATATATATAATAGACTCTCCTGTCGGTTTCGAGGTATGATGATCTGACAGCTTAATTGATTGAGTTCTGAAATTGTGTGCGATAATCTTAAGTGACACTTAAGGCCCGCTAGTGATTTACAAAGGGGGCCACATATGGAGCAAGTGTGAGTATTATGAGATGAGATCACTGTTAGATGGGCTGACCATTTAGATATCGCTCTCGCTTCTTGAAGATGATTCAGACAATAACACACGTTGATCTCCATTCCACCCACTCCAAGGTTAAGCGCTCAAGGGTGATATATATATATATATATATATATATATATATATATATATATATATATATACCATTCAATAGGTCCCAACAAATTCAGGGCCACTAATTCTCACCGCGACTTCAAGGAGTGTTTTTTGCTTTTGTGCGCACTCGTCTGTTGATTTTTGCAAAATTTGGCAATTTTTAATTATTTGCCAGTTTACAGTCGGATCATTGTTGATTTTTTTCTTTTAATTTCAACACATAGCTGGATAGTCTGGAAGAATTCCTATGTTTTTGTAGCATGAAAGATGTCTTTTTATTATACCATCACGTTGACCATCAGTATATGATATGAAAATTTTGGTCTGGCCATTTGTGTCTTTTACTTCTGCTTTTTAAATTACTCCTTCAGTTTTGCAAACTACATCTAGTGGACATCTACTTATATTTATACAGTTACATGATTCACTGTTAACGATATCTTGCTGCACGTTAGTTTTAAAATTGCCTGAAGTTTTGTATTTTTATTGTGGTTTCAACATTACTAGTGTAGCTTTAGCTTAATTTAATAACCTTTTTTTTACAAATACCGATATATATATATATATATATAAAACGCAAAGCTCTTCGGTAAAATTTATAAGAGCAATATCGCTGAATAGCGATTGTAAATGTAAACAATTGTAAATGTAAACAATCGCTAAATGGAGATTGTTTACATTTGTAAAAACAATACGCTAGAATTAGCAGTTTCTCTCTGCTGATGGCTTAGGGGTAGAACATCCGACTGACACCAGTTTCGATCCGGGCTTGATGATTTCGGACGTCTATCAGGACTGAGGAGCTGTGATACAGCAAAACTGTCTTCGAATGACATATATATATACGATTGCGTCTAGCATGAAACAGCCTGTCGCCTCTGAGTGTTGATTTTAATGTTCAATATTTATATTTATATTTACATACGCCTTATATTGAGCACTTTATCCCATAAATATAAGACTATATTTCTTCACACACACACAAACACACACACACACACACATATATATATATATATATATTTATTAAAGACATTTTTATTTATGTTTAACGTTGTTATTTTATAGATACAAGTATTTAAGCAAATGCTCTGTTTATGATAAACAGTATTAAATAACATTTACCGGCCTGAATGTCCGAGAAATTTTCATAGAAAATATTCGTTCATTGACAGGATTCGAACCTGCATCCTATACGGAACCGTCATATACGCTGACGTGCCTTAAAGACATTCTATAAAATAACAACGTTAAACATAAATAAAAATGTCTTTAATAAATAAATTGTCGGACCTTGTCCATTTCTTAACATATGACGTCATTTGTTTACATTCGATACGCCAGAGCAGTTATGAATGTACGAGATTCATGGAAGATTGTAGTTTATAAACAGTAAATTCGACCTTGTCTACCATAAGGTTCATTGTGGCCCAGAGGTAAGGCACGTCAGCGTATATGACGGTTCCGTATAGGATGCAGGTTCGAATCCTGTCAATGAACGAATATTTTCTATGAAAATTTCTCGGACATTCAGGCCGGTAAATGTTATTTAATACTGTTTATCATAAACAGAGCATTTGCTTAAATACTTGTATCTATAAAATAACAACGTTAAACATAAATAAAAATGTCTTTAATAAATAAATTGTCGGACCTTGTCCATTTCTTAACATATATATATATATATATATACACAAGCCTGTTTTGCTGTATCACATCTCGTCAGTGTGGTTAGATGTCCGATTGCTTCAAACCGATATATATGGATCAATATTGTGAATTTCTTTCTTCGTTCAACGATAATGTTATTAAACTCATCAGACTTTATGAAAAGAATTTACATAAAATAAATAGACAATACTTGTCTACATTATTTAATGAAACTTGTATGAATGAAAAGATGCTGCCTAAATACACACACTATATATATATATATATATATATATATATATACTATAAAAATGGACTTTTCTGACGGTTTCATCCTATTAGGATCGTGTAACTCACCTTTTAGAACCAAACTACAAGACTAGCTTGCACATATGATGTAACTATAGGGTGGGAAGACTTATGCAAAATCAACTATTAATTTAACCAATATCGGATCCTCGGTATTGGTGCACAATAGTGAGCATCATGCCTGCAAAACGACCCTGTTCATGTTTCGAATCCAGAGTCTTCCAACTACAAGACAACGCAAAGATCTAGATCTTTTAACCATAGCTGAGCGGTATATAGATGGATCCATACTTATCTCGAATGTAAGAAACACGACTGGATTTCGAACTCGAACTCGGCTCTCCGATTTTTCATTTCGAGCCACTATTTATGATACCACTGCGCATCCACGAGTAAGGATTACGCCATTCATGGTCGTTATAATTAAACTGCCTGCAATACTAGGACAAAATATTTCTCTATCATTATATTAATGAATAAACAGATAGAATGTGGCAGATAGATAGATGGATAAAGAAATTAGGATAGATATATATATATAGATAGATAGCTAATATAGAATTGAGGATTGATTGAGAGAGATATAAGGAATAGATAGATAGATAGATAATGAAGAATTGGAGAAAGAAAGGAAGGAGCGGAATTAGATAGATAGATAGATAGATAATGAAGAATTGGAGAAAGAAAGAATGGAAGGAAGGAAGGAGCGGAATTAGATAGATAGATAGATAATGAAGAATTGGAGAAAGAAAGAAAGAAAGAAAGAAAGAATGGAAGGAAGGAAGGAACGGAATTAGATAGATAGATAGATAATGAAGAATTGAAGGAAGGAGCGGAATTAGATAGATAGATAGATAGATAGATAATGAAGAATTGGAGAAAGAAAGAAAGGAGCGGAATTAGATAGATAGATAGATAGATAATGCTAATATTACTACTGCGCATTCGACAAAGAGGAATCATTTTTCGCCCACTCGCCAGATGTCGCTTTATCTGTCCTGATATAAACGATGTTTTCAAGACAGATGTTTCTCGACCTGCCGATGTCACTGTTTGGGCAATTTCGAACTGAATAAGGCCATACCGTCTTCCAGTGTCATTAATTCATCTGCTGTTTGTTTTATTTCAAATCATAGCGCACGCTCTTCGTTCTGAAGAACTTTCCACATCGTTTAAATGTTGCAATTGATATATGTTTCTTTTTTTTTTTTTTTTTACATTTTCACCTGTTCTTCTGTCTACGGAAGTCGTCAGGCTTTCCATTCTTGTTCCGGGTGAAAGTTCATTCAGTGATCAGACAATTTGAACCCGATAAATTCGTCTATTAACAAGAGTTATTATATGATCCATTTGTATTCTATCCATTCCTAATATTATTTAATTCTCTTGTTAATCTCTCTCTCTCTCTCTCTCTATATATATATATATATATATATATATATATATATATATATATATATAATAGTGAACATTAGTCAACACTTAGAGGTGACAGTCTGTTACATGCTAGATGCAATCGTCATGCCACGAAGTTCACTTTTGAACCGACTGTTCGGTTGAACTCTCTTCCTACGGACGGGAGGAACCCGAAGGAGGCTACGCCAAAGGGCGGAGCTCCTTCGGGGAGGTAAAACCAGCCCTGAACCCGTTTATACGGATTCAATTGGCATATCTTGGGCCGAGCCCACGGGCTCGGAAGGCCCACGTTAAAATGGCCTTGTGCCACATGACACCCTCGTGGGGGTGGTGACTGAATATCGTCAGGCCACGTGTGCTGTTATTTTTCTCGGCTATTTATGTGTATATAAGAAAAAATAATAAGATATATGAATAGATAAGAATAATAATAATAGATATATAAATAGCCGAGAAAAATAACAGCACTCGTGGCCTGACGATTGCATCTAGCATGAAACAGACTGTCGCCTCTAAGTGTTGATTTCTATGTTCACTTTTATATTTACACATGCTCTATCTCTGATATTGAGCACTTTATCCAATAAATATATCACATCTTAAGACAATATATATATTCTATGTTTATATTTATTTATTTATCTGTCTATCTATCTATCGTTCGTCTGACGCTGATAGAAAATCAATAAATATTGCGTCCTGGATGATAACCTACATTAAGCAGCAAGGCCTTTGACAAGGAGATTTTTAGAAGCGTGGGACCACCTCCTGCTGGTGTTCCCAGATCCACTCTGACCCGGGGTGATAGCACCTTTCAGGTCCCAGCTATGAGGAAATATTTAAACCCCAAAATGGGGACAAACAATATCAATGTGTAAAAATAGGTTTAATACCAGCAATACATTTTTTAAAACAAAAGTTATTTCCAGCAATAAATTTTTCCAAAGAAATATCAACAGCAATAAACTATTTGTCGGCATTAAATAACTCATTGTTGTTGATATGCCGTAAAATAAAACAAACCAAATCAATTAATAAAGCTCTCTCTCTCTCTCTCTCTCTCTCTCTCTCTCTCTCTCTCTCTCTCTTATATATATATATATATATATAATTAATAAACAATAAAATCTCAAAACGTCATATGGAGAATAGTTACCTTTACTATAAATATATATATGTGTGTGTGTGTATGAGTGTGTGTGTGTGTGTCTGTGTGTTTGTGTGTGTGTTAAGTCTATAGAACATATATATCAAACACACACACACATATATATATATATATATATATATATATATATATAACCCACACATGGACACACATACACACAAAGGCAGACACACATATACCAGTAAGTTCACTTCTATAGATTAGATCATTCTGTATGCCACTGTATTCATATATATATATATATAATCCTAAGGAGCCAGGCAAACCTACCTAGGTTTCACCTAAACGGATATTAGTTACCTTTTACACGCGTTGGAAGTTATTTTCTTTGGCCTTTGAGCCTGAACGCTGGACGATTGTTTTCGCCTTAGTTTAATGTTCTTGGTTCTTTCATTTTTTATTCCTCATTTTTCCTTGGGTACCGATTTGTTCTACTAAGAGTTGAAATATCCAAGGTTTTTCCAAGCGAGTACCACCATATATATATATATATATATATATATATATATATATATATATATATGTATGATAAAACATAGTTTTAAGCAATATTATATTTATGAATTAAAGCGCTCAACATGAGTGATAAGGCACATGTAAATATAAAAGTAGACATTGAGATCAACATACAACACCGGCATGTACTATTTTGTGCATGCCATCGTATTCCTTCCCCTCTTTACATATATATATATATATATATATATATCAATCGCAGATAGTACTGTTTCGCAGTTCCTTAGTACGACTAGACATCCGAATGCCTCAAGCCAGGATCGGAAACCGACCGATTTGGTGACAGAGTTTCTACCACTTAGCTGTCTTTACTTGGCAGCGAGAAGAAGCTTATTCTAGTGTATTGTTTTTACCAATGTAAACAAATGCCAATCATTCAGAGTACCCCAAATTCATTTTACTGAAGAGCTTTGCATTAGCGCAGGTGGCTGCTGTTTTTAAAATTAATTATATATATATATATATATATATATATATGTGTGTGTGTGTGTATATATATATATATATATAAAGTGCGAGAGAGGTTGGGAGAGGGAAATATGTGTGCTTGCGTGTGAGCGTGTTTCCATCTGTTACAGTTTGTTTCTGTATTTATATATCTATCACATTCTGTAGATTCACTTCCATATCTATATATAGGCCCGTCTGTTCATATATATATATATATATATATATATATATATATATATATTTAAATTACATCTAACTCACTCATGTCTTCTCTCTTCCCCCTCACATCCTCACTTGGTTAATTTACATATGCTTAATACGGCCCGTCAAAAATGTGTTAATTTCATTTTTCGTTTCACCCTTTGGAAGTAAAGTCTGATGATCCGCAGTCCTTTAAAAGGGCTGTGGTGAAATAATTTATTACATGGAACCTTGAAGTGGTCTGTTTTTATTTAAATTATTTGCTCTAGATTTACATTCAGCTCTCTGGATTTTATCCTCCTTGGGTCTACCCATACGGATTACCTAGTTTTCCATAAACTTTATATATATATATATATATATATATATATATATATATATATATATATATATGTGCAGGTGTATGTATATATGTATGTTAATCTCTATCAATTCATAGATCTATCTATCTGCCCGTCTGTCTCTCTGGCTGTCTTCTGTCTAACAATGCTACACAGTCACTTCATTATCTACGTTTATGACCATTAATCTATGCCTCTTCTTTTTCTAACTGCCTGTCTGTCTCTTTATATAAAATTGATGTCATTTGAGATTAAATATATCTGAGGAACTATGTCTTCTAATCAAATGAATGTAAACAGACTTGTTGTTTTAGAAAGTAAGTTTGTTTTTTAACAAAATTTTAATGCGAAATTAAAAGATGTGTGGATTTCATGAACGTTTCACAAGTTTTCAATATGTGCAATGCTCGACCATGTCTTCCAATATGGGCGCTCATCCAAAACCTTTTGTCATCCACAGACGACATTTCTTTTCGAAATGCAGTTAGTGAATTTTTAGCAAATTCTCCCACAAATACCTGTTGCAGTTTTGTTTGACTGTATTTGATCAAATATAACAATCAAAACCCATTTTCTTTTCCAGGGAAGAATTTGGTTTGGTTTGATTTGTTTACGACATTTCAATCTCAATGGGTTATTTAATGTCGAAGATTTTTATTGTTGGTAATATTTTTTTTCAAAAATTATTTTTAGTAAAATTTTTACCAAAGATGTATTCCTGGTAATATTTTCCCCAAAACATATTGCTGGTAATATTTCTTTTCTCAAAAACATTGCTGGTAATATTATTTTTTAAAAAATGTGTTGCTGGTAAAATGCAATGCTGGTAATAATTTTTTCCTTCAAAATTTTATTACTGATAATAATCTTTTACAAAAATTTATTGCTGGCGCCAGATTGCGGGTTAACTATTTTCACATACCCGTGACCATAACAGGTGTTACCACGCCGGGGGGACGTGAGAACAACAATTAAAAGATGGTTCTACGCTCCTCAAAACCTCCTGATCAGATGCCTTTCTTAACCAGTACGCGGATGTTGTTTATCGTCATACCCAGGACACGAGTGTAGTTTATCGTCATACCCAGGACGCGGATGTAGCTTATCGTCTTACCCAGGACGCGGATGTATTTTATCGTCTTACCGAGGAAGCGGATGTAGTTTATCATCTTACCCAGGATTCGGATGTATTTTATCGTCTTACCCAGGACGCGGATGTTTTATCGTCTTACCCAGGACGTGGATGTCGCTTATCGTCTTACCCAGGACGTTCCAGTGAATGATATTTCTATATCTGTAAAGAAAAAAAATTAAGCATAGAATTTTGAGATTGTTTCAAAAATTGTTGTTAAAATGTAAGATTATTTGACGGAGAAAATTATTATATTACGAAATGATATCAAGTAGGACTAGTGGATAGTGGCTCAGATTGAGGAATCGGAGAGCCGATTTCGAATTCCAGTTGGATCCATTACATTCACTTCCGTGCTAATACCCTTGGGAAAGATGTGAATCCTCTCCTTCTTCCCTCGTCTCAGCTATGGGTGAATAACAGAACTGACTGGGTGGTCTAGGAGAAAGTAACTCTGAATTTAAAACTGCATGTAGCCCTGTCGTAGAATATACCATACAGCTAAAGAAAGGATCGTTCGCATTGGCTCAATGATCCTGACTAATGATGATGGTCGAATGATGATGATATCCTGTAACTAAACCTCCTGAAAAATAATTGCGTCAGTGCTTGAAAAGATCTTGAACAAGACAGGCATTAAAACTATTACCTTGCCGGATCAACGGCCATATTAGTCTTGCTATGCCAGTATTGGTGAAAGCATTCTCTACTTAAATAGCAAGTCACTGAAAACTGGCGAATTTTTTTAATCCTTATTTCTAAGTAACATCTTGTCTCCTCCTAATTAACTTTAAAGAAGTTAAAATTATTTGAATCGAACAATGGAAGAAATATTAAAATTAAGAAACATGTTAACTGGTAACTTACAGTCAATGATGATAATTGATGAATTTATTGTTTATTGTAGAAATTTGTGTGGCCATGCATCTTAAAACTCTATTTTATCTCTGACTATAAGGGGAAAAAGGAGTACCACAGTGGAGTAATGGATAGCGGCTCGCATTGAAGAATCGGAGAGCCGAGTTCGAATTCAGTCGAATCCATTACATTCACTTACGTACTAATACTATATATATATATATATATATATATATATATATATATATATATATATATATATATATATATATATATATTGTATCATAAGGAAACAATAAGCAACGACTAAGAAAAAATGGGAAATTGCGCCCTGAAGATGACAATTTGAAATTGTTGAAAGTACAAAATTTTTATTTGATCTCTAGCGTTGCGGCAAAGCACACTTCAAAACATATATTCAACTGTCGATAAATAGCATAATTTAAAAAAAAAAAAAAAACACTTTTTAGTCTGGACTTATTTTGTCTTCGTGTTTATCTATGTATGGAAAAATTGCACCCTGAAGATAACAGTTTGAAATTGTCGAAACCCTTTGGCATGTGTCTTCCATCTGACAACAACTCGAATATAAGGATGTCATTGTTCAAGTAATTGATAGTAAATGCCTCATTAAGTTCCGTTAGCGAACTGTTTCGCCATTAATCACAGTGACATTGCTATTGCTATTTAATTCTTTGTATAAATTGTTTATATATATATATATATATATATATATATATAATTGTTTCTTTATGATGTAAAATATCAGCTGCATACTAATACACATACACACACACACACACACACATATATATATATATATATATATATATATATATATATATATATATATATATATAGATGGTTATTTCAAATAAAATATATACATATATTATGTGAAATGACCTTGACATATATACAAGAAGAACATATGTATATAAAATATAATCTGCACACTCTAATATATATCTAGATTATATTTTATATACATATGTTCTTCGTGTATATGCATGTCAAGGTCATTTTTCTTTGATCTCTAGCGTTGCGGCAAAGCACACTTCAAAACATATATTCAACTGTCGATAAATAGCATAATTTAAAAAAAAAAACACTTTTTGGTCTGGGCTTATTTTGTCTTCGTGTTTATCTATGTATGGAAAAATTGCACCCTGAAGATAACAGTTTGAAATTGTCGAAACCATGTGGCTAGAGATCAACGCTAGAGATCAAATAAAAATTATATATATATATATATATATATATATATATATATATATATATATATATATATGTGTGTGTGTGTGTGTGTGTGTGTGTGTGTGTGTGTGTTCTTAAATATAATCGTCAGATCGAGACTTTCATGTGTGTGTCATACATGGCGCCAAATCCGTTCAGAAATATATAAATTCTCATCTGTATAGAAGCGCATTCTCAAATATATGCTTATCAAGCATGTAAGTCTCATCTAGGATAATCCTTCTTGTAATTTCCTTTACCGGCGCTACATAATCACAGAAAAAGTACTGCACCAAATAACGGAAATCACATCACTTCAAGACTTCTAATATCGGCAACAACTAAAATGGATAGTAGATGTATCCTAAAGATTAAATAATGCCATAATCAAGATGCTAAAGAAAGAACCCACCACCACCAACATTAATACTGAAAAGACCGATTTACTGGACTTGAGAAATCTATTTACCTGAAGAACTTTTATGATAGAGGGATTTTATAATTTGAAACAGAAAATAAAATTGGCTGTTCGCTCAATGGACGTCGATTGTTTCCTTATCAGGAAACAACTAATATAACCATTATTATTGTTCATTTCCTACTAAAATTACTAATTTTAAACTTTCTCTTTTCTTCATTGATGTTCCTTGTTATTTTCTCTTTCACTTTTAAGTGGTTTCTGTTTATGTATAATCAATAATACGTAGGACTAATTAAACTTTTGTAGACCTTGAATTACGGAGATTTACTGAAAACACTCATCATTTTAAAAACATTGCCAAGACGTTCTCTGCGAGGAAAACAGTGTAAACTTGGCGTTAGATAATTGATTTTTTTTAATTTGTGTTGAGAAACTCATGGTGTCTTACAATTATTTTTAGACGTGTACTTTAGAGATAAGAAGGATATATATAAATCTTCGATGATAAACAGATAAAAGGCTTATATCTCAAAGCATTGTTATTAAGATCGGCTATCACTAATTTTTTTCTCAGTGATCTAATTTATTGAATATATACTGGATTATCTTTCAACGAGATTCTTTGACATTATATATATATATATATATATATATATATATATATATATTCGCGGTACTTATTGAAATGTGTCCAATATCAGTGACAGAGCTAAGATATTCAGTTGTATGGATATTTGTTTATAATCCTGAGTTTTGGGATCATCAGACATTTAAAGAGATATATTTACCAAAGTTACAAAAAATATCGTGAAATATTAAAGAGTAAATTTATTTATTAAAATCGCACGTCCAGACAACTTCGGAATCTCCCTGGAACTCTTCTGTATGGTCATCTTGTTTAAATTGGTGGCTGCTGCCATAATCCTTGCTCACACTTCATCTTTGATGTTTTTGTGGTCTCTCAGTCATCTGCGCCTCACACATAATAATCAAGTGTTGCACTCTGAGGAATTAGGTGGCCAGGTATAAAGGCTGATGTGGTCGCAGAAACTTTCTTGCAGACATGACTGGAGTCTCCTGCTTGTGTGGCATATAGCAGAGTTCTGTTGATAGATATAGGCGCTTCCAGCAGCCACCTTCTTGAACTAGGGTAGCTCTACTGCCTCAAAAACTTGACGTAGGTCTCCGTTTTGAATATGGGGCAGTCGCCAACAAACTCGGGCGTTCTTTTTTTTTTATCAGAACGATCAGAGTGAGTTTTCCGAGCGGATGTACCTTTGTAATCACCATTAGACTCATCGGACTCTTTCCGAGCCTTATGCACTCTCCTCATATTGACACCCAAACACTCTAAAATGTTCGTATTGGAGCTTCTGGCGCGAATGCCAAGCAGTACAAGGTGCCGTTTCCAAATTTCTGGCGGAGTAAATTGTGCCAAGATACTTTTGTTCTCACAGAACTGTCTAAAGTATACTGCGCAGTAGAAAAATAAAAACAAAAAAAAAACACGCATGCACGAAAATAAAAATATAAAATGGCGACAATTTACCCATCGCACCCTGATGTGTGTGTGTGTGTGTGTGTTCGTGTGTGTGTGTGTGTTTGCGACCTCTTATTCGACTATGGCTTTCGGATACCCAATTGCTATTGCAGACACCTGCTCACCTGTGCTGTATACTGCAATTATGATGAGCAGGCATTACTTACAGCTTCTGGGGGGAAAAAAAGCGCATTCTCTGGCCGAATCAAAAGTCTAAGCAAGACCATAACGCTCAATTCCTCGGTCAGGATGTCTTGCGACGTCATGCACGCGCAAACATCGACGGCTCAGATATAATATATCCGTCTAGCTAATTTCACTCACCAGGCTTCAGTCAACCTTTTTTGCATTTTAGGCACTTTCCAAAGCAGCCACATTCAGGCATCACCTTACTCATGAAGTCACCTTACTGATAAATCGATCAAGATGAGATTGGAACCGAAATCATCATATCTTTAAAAAGTAATGATAATATATATATATATATATATATATATATATATATATATAGAGAGAGAGAGAGAGAGAGAGAAAGACATGAATAACCAGATATAGATAGATAGATATGAATAACCATATATAGGTAGATAGATATGAATAACGAGAGATAGATACATGAATAGATAGATAGATAGATAGATAGATAGATATGAATAACTAGATAGATAGATATGAATAACCATATATAGGTAGATAGGTAGACAGATATGAATAACGAGAGATAGATACATAAATAGGTAGATAGATAGATATGAATAACTAGATAGATAGACATGAATAACCATAGATAAATAGATAGGTAGATATGAATAACGATAGATAGATATGAGCAGATAGATCAGAAGAGACTTACATTGGTAGATATGAACAGATAGATAAATCAGAAGATATTTACATACATAGATAAATAGCGGGATATATAGATAGATATGAACAGATAGATAGATCAGACTTAGATAGATAGATAGATCAGAAGATACTTACATAGATAAATAGCAAGATGCATAGATCGATATGAACAAATAGATCAGACTTATACAGATAAATAGACTTTTATATATATATCTTCTCAGATAATGCTGTTATTAAATTCATTAAGGAAGGCACCATAGTTTGTTTTGTTTTTTCATTTCTTTTTTTTTTTCAAAGTGCTGTCAATCTCATCCATAATCACACTCAAGTTTGAATTGCTAAGACAGATAGTTGTGAACTTTATTGTAAATGCGCATGAAACACGCCCTGTTACAATGAATTAAAAAATGAACCGCTAAAGCTATTATGTTATGTATACTCAAATTAACTTTATTTATTGTTGGTTGTATCTTTCTTACACACAGCGCTTCAAGAATTTGAAGTTTTTGTTTTTTTATTTTCATGATGGAATACACTTGTATTGTCAATTATTATTTCCCTAAATTGAGAATGTGGATAGGAATTTTTCTTTAAATGCGCTATGGAACTTGGATCTGACATGTGTAGTGTAAGTCTCCTCGATAATGTTGTTGTCGTGAAACCAAAATATGTATTTACTTTTTTTTGTCACAGATACAATCTCCCAAAGGACGTTTAAACTGATATAAAATGTTGGTCTTTTGCAAAATATTAGTTGACGATGAGGAGTTATTGCGAATGTTTAATTTGGTTGTATTAAATTTAGTATCGTATATAATTAGTTTTATTTTTTTTATTGGGATCAGTGGGGGGAGTATTAGTACTTATGGGTTTCTCTAGGGATTTTTCATCTTGTTAGTAGTTAGAGTGTATTTGATTATGGTATAGTAGGTTGAAGGACAACTTTGAATTCAAAACCTGCGGGGGGTCGTTTGGGGACCTTGTGGCACACTTCAAAAAGTGTGGTGTTGGTTCTTCACAAAGCCGTCACCGATTTAATCAAATCATATTTGCATGTGTCCGGCTGTCGGTTTCTAGGAACTGAGTTGGTTGACCCTCATACGTCGACAAAATATAAAATATCCAGAAAAGGTTATGGGACCTAGAACTAGAACAATCTACCCGAGTGGACAAAATAAAGGGTTCGGTTTGAAATTCCAACATATATCCCCTGAAGATGGCCGGAGCGTACAACTGCCGAAACGTCGTGAATATGACAATAAAGATGGGGACAATAGGTCGAACAGTGTAAATTATATCATCAAATATCCTTTTTTAACGCTTTTTTTAAAGTTTTGTCCAGCGTATTTTTAGTAAAAAAAAAAAAAAAAATGAGCTAGATTTTAGCTTTTCCCAGAATGCCTCGCATTTTTCTGCCGCTTATTTCCGTAGATTTATATATATCTGCAAGGATGGCAACTGGTTGGGAGCGCAACGAAATTAAATTTTTTCCAATCATAATCACTGCTTTGGTGTTTAAAATTGGTGTTTTATAATTCACAAAATGCTTGTTTGACATGAAATATGAGATTAATTCAGATGATTAAAAAAATTATCTATGATTCCAACTGTTCTCTTCATTTCAAGTTTCATTTCATCAAAGTCCAAACGTGCCATGTCTAATGGATGTCAGTTATCTCCTGTTAATTCCTCTTTGAAAGTCCTCCACTACCTTAACCGGGTATTGAACTCACACTCTTTGGGTCCTGTCACTGGATCTAACTAACGCCTTTATCCACTATGCCATGTGTCCTTGGTGACACATGGCATTAGACATGGTACGTAGAACTAGAACAGTCTATCCCAGTGAGCGAAATAAAGGGTTCAGTTCGACATTCCAACCACCTGAAGATGGCCGGAGCGTACAACGGCCAAAACTTGATTATTTACTATATTTTCACATTTTACAGTGCAGTTCGATAAAAGTGACTCACCTGATTTTTTTTTACTTAAAATTTTTTTCGCCTATTGTTTTTGGGGTCAAACTAATTTTTAATCTTACTAATATAAAGACCCCTTCCCGACCACCTAGGAAAAAATTTTACTCACCCTAAGGTATTCTATTGATAATTATAATTTTGGATATAAATGAGATTTAGGGAAAAACTCTGTGCAAAAAAAAAATGACTCAGTTATTTTCATGCAACTAGTAATCAATAGAAACATAACCGAACAGCTTTAAATAAAGAATAATAGAGGTATAATTTATTTATAATAGGTAATATAGTTCGAAATATTTAATAATCTATGGGTCCTCCTTTATTTTGAATAACTTTTTCAACCCTTTTTGGCATTGACTTGATTAGGTTCTGGCAAATCTAATCTCCAAGCATTGAATTCCATTCGGATATGAAATTCACAATCAAATCCTCTTTGTTGCTCAACTGCTTTCTCGAGAGCCTGTACTTTATAATGTCCCATAAGATTTTTTTATGGGGTTAAGGTCCGAAGATTGGGGCGGCCATGTCATAACACTCACCTGCTTCTCATCAAAGTATTCCTTAATTTTGATTTGTGACAGTAAGCATTATCCTGCATAAAAATGAGCTTGGTGGGATCGATTTGCACCCTTTCAGCAGAATAGAGCAGACAAGACTCTAAAATTCTCTTGTACTGCTCGCTCCTGAGGGTCTTTTCAATAGGTTTTAAGAAACCACTTCCATGAAAAGAAAAGCATCACCCACAACATTATACTGAACGGATGCTTGACAGTACTTACTGCTTAATTCAAAGAGCTTTCAAAGCGTCTTCTTCAGATTTTAGATCGCTTATCCTTTGAATTTAGCTCAACTTTCGTTTCATCGGAGAAGAGAACATTTAGTAAAAAAAAATCAGGTGAGTCACTTTTATCGAACAGCACTGTACATTAAATAACTAGTTCTTTTTTGTGTTATATTCGGCTAAAGTTAGCAACTAATACGATAGATTCAGTTTTTATTACATTATTATTATAGGTGAGATATAAAACGACAATCTCAATTGTTACCCATTGTTTGAGTTTTCTTCAGTTTAACAAAAGAAAGTTAGGTTAATATTGCCGTAAGCCACCAGACAACTCTGAAAGACCGGTGATTTTAATATGATGATTCATCTCGCGTAAAAAGTGCGTCGAGTCGCCGTTTGATCGCTTCTACAACACTAGACTGTTTGCTAGATATATCTTAAGCTGAGTTCCTATAAAACATTAACATTGAATTGTAATAGATGCAATAAATTGTATCTCAGACTGCTACATTCGCCAGACAGATGTATAATGGGCCAGTCGACACGGGCTACATAGGTGAAGATATCACCTAATTTAACAGTGACTGCGATAGATAAATAAGTAAAAAAAAAAAAATCCCCACATTTAAACATCATTTTGCAATCGCTTCCAGACGTTATTAATAGTTAATAGGGTTTACGTGAACGCCAGTAAACTCAAGCTTAAACTATGTGGGTGAACTGAGATCTCGGAACGCGAGAAAAAATATATTTGGGTCGTTGACGTGTTTAACCCGTTTCATTCCTTTACGAACTCTGTTGATGGTTTCATTTGTATTCCGTGTACGTCTCGCTGCTTTTGTGTATCTAGTTATTTAATATAGCCCTGTCTAGAACGTTTGCTTTCTGACCATGTGAGCCGGGTTCGAATCTGACCATGGTCGATTTGTCAGGAAGGAGACTTACTAATGTTATATCGGTCTGAAGGAGATCACAGCGTGCGACATCTTTGGAAAGTGCCTGGAAACGATTGAAATTGGATAGAGGGAACCCTTTTGGGGTCTCTCGATGGTTGTGTTAGCATGATGTCACAAGTCATCATGACCGACGTTTTCCGCGTGTTGGCCTTGTTTAGAATGTTAATCAAGCTAGATAACGCGCACTCTCATAGAAACTGTATCTAAGGTCCGCTCAGCATAGTTGCAGGTGAGATCTTTGTGTGCTGAACAAACACAAACGTGCCTGAGCAGGCGCCTGCAACAAGGATTGGCTAGCCGCCCTAGAAGTTTGGCTTCCTCGGAAACGATTGTCTGCGTCATTTATTTAAGATCTTAAATTTACATGGGTGCATTTCTCGTTACGCTCTTCGAGTTTTTCTTCCAAAGAACTGTCCATCATACAAATAAATGTATCTGTTCTCGTATGTCGGGTGACGGAAGTTATGATGTCACAAGTGATGCAAATACTATTTCGTTTTATTTGAGCCTTTTCTAAGATATTTAATGGTGTAATCTCTCGTAAAGTAGAATGTTCTACAGAGGTTTACAGCGGAATCAAAAAGGTCCTCAAAAGATCGGTTTGCACGCGAGTATCAAAGTAGACACAGTTTTGGTTTGACCACGAGTCGAAAAGGTAAACATAGGTTTGGTTTCAGGTCTAATTTGATTTGGTTTGGTTTACGGCATACCAACCTCAATTGGTTATTTAATACTGACAAAATTTTTATTGCTGATTATATTTTTTTTCCAAACATGCATTACTGGTAATAATTTTTTTTAGATGTCGCTGATAATAACTTTTCAACATTTTTTTAATTTACAGCTGATGATAATTTTTCCCCCAAAGTATTGCTGGTATTAAAGCCTATTTTTATACTTTCATAGTGTTTTAACCCCTTTCTGTGGGCGGGAACTATTTACCCATAGCTGGGACCTGGAGGGGCTACCACTCGACAATACCAGCAATTAAGAGGTGGTTCCAGTTCCATGTTCCTGAAAACCTATTGATTAAAAACCTTGTTGTCGGATGTAGTTTGTCATCTTACCAACGAGGCGGATGTAGTTTATCGTCAGGCACAGGATGGTTTGATTTGAATGAGAGTCACAAAAGTAGACATTTGGTTTGATTTTGGATGTGAGTCTAAAAATGTAAACATCTTGGTATGGTTTGCAAGTGACTCAAAACGGTAGGCATCGGGTTGATTGGTACAAGATTTTAAAAATATAGATATTTTACTTCGTTGTTTGGCTGATTGATTTTAGTGGGATGACAATTTTTATCGGTTATTTAATGCCGAAATCTAAATATTTTAAACAGAATTTCATAGCTTCAACTTAAAATTTTTGAATGCTATTGTATACCTTCAATTTCAAATAAAATGTATTGTTCGTCTTTTTATATAATTATGTATTGTTGGTAATATTTTATATAAAAATGCATTGCTTGCATTTTTATTAAAAAAATGTATTTTTATACTTTCATAGTGTTTTGTTTTTCTTTGCGGGGGGGGTCATTATTTGCCCATAGCTGGGACCCTAACAGGTGCTACCACCCAGGCTCAGTGTAGACCTGCGAACAACAGCAATTAAGAGGTGTTTCCAAAGACATCCCGATCAGAGGTCTTGCTACCGGACCTAGTTTATCGTCAGGCCGAGGACGTAGATATTTTGGCATTTGTGTGCTTACGACTCAAAAATGTAAAAAGGTTTGGTTGGTGTGTGATTCCGTTTGGACAGGAAACATAGATTTCACTTATATATGTATCTCTATCTATAAAAGGCAGGATGTGTATGTGTGTGTGTGTAACGAATGCACGGCCGCAATTTTCGACCGATTTGCACCAAGATTTACATGCACATGCTCCCAGTTAGTGGGAATGCCAAGACCGACTTTGCATTTCCCAACTCCCATCGATAGGGGAAATAATCGATTTTTTCATGCTTCTACGGCAGTTTTCAGGTAGTTTGCGGCCATTTTCTACTGGCCAGAGTGAGAGCCTATAGCTGGCTGCCACGAATAGGCAGGAAGATTCTATTGGCCAGCGTGAGAGCCAACAGCTGACTGACACGAATGTTAACTAGCAATCTAGCATACAAAAAAAAATCGATAGATGCATTCGTCACAAGTGGGGAAAAATTTAAATCTGCATGGCACTTTACTCCAATTGGCTCATTCGCTTGTTTAAACTCAACGTTGATTCCGATTCCGCAGAACTGGGTTGGGTGTGAAAAAGTATTTGTTGTTAACATTCTTTTTTCATTCAATTTTTCCAGTTACGAGTCCTTTTTTAAAGCTGATCGTTTTGTGTTCATTTTGTTTAGATCTTTTTCATAAAATATTTAATGTTTAGTATAGAGCTTAGAAAATATTTGCAGTGTGAGATAGGCAAGAAGTAAGGCATGTAGCAACATCAGCACGGCAAATGGCACTCCTTTAAAGGCAAATAAGGGCAAAAATATTTTAAGTCAAGTGATAGCTGTATGAGTCGTACGATTTTTGAATCAAGCACGGGCAACGCTGGGCCATGCTGCTAGTGTATGTATATCTGGCCAATCGTATTCGAGGATACCTGTCTACTAAGGTATCTAGCTTGCTCAGGTTCATTCAACACCCACCTGTGGTTTGTACTGCAACTATGCTGAGCAGATCTTAGTCAAAGTTTCTGGTAAAGAAACGTGTTCTCTCGCGTGATCAACAATTTGAACAAGGCCAGCACGCTCAAGACATCGGCCACAGATATCGACGGTTTTCCGCATATCCAAGTTGGTGGCATGGTTTAGGGACACTTTCCAAAAGTGCCGCATGCTGGAATCGACCCCTGCAGTCTGATAACAGCAGGAAGTCTCTCTTTCATGACAAATCGACCATAGTGAGATTCGAACCCAGGTCCCATAGCCACGAGCCCATTTGATTTACAAAATAAAGTCATTTTGGATATGGTTTGCATGTGAGTCAAAGAGACATACATAGGTTTGATTAGTAAGAGAAACTAAAACATAAGTATTTTGATATGAATTGCTCGTGCGATACAACATAGATTATTGGTTTGGTGTGCACGGGAGACAAAAAATTTTTAAAAATGTACGTTTAGCTTACCCGAAAACCCAAATGAGTTCGACAACGATTTGGTTTGTATATGAGTGAAAATATTAGGTATACAGGTTTGTTTTTGATGAGAGTCAAAAAGGCAGACAGAGGCAATCTTTGCACGGGAGTTAAACGGTAGACATAAGTAAAGCAAGTAGGTTTCACCTCTACATAAGGATGTGATGGCGTCTTTTTTTTTTGTTTGCAACCAATACTTACGGCCACATCACGTTTAACCACCGGTTACCGTACGATCACAAATGTTTAACAAAGTCTAATTTGGTCACTGCCTAGATAGGTGACCGCTTGAAAATTCAAGGTGCTGTAAGCTTTGGTGTGCGGGTGGTGTAATGGATATTGGCACGGAATTTTTAGTCGGAGAACCGAGTTCCAATTCCTTTTGGGTTCACTTACACGAAAATACCCTTACCAAAGGTATGAATCCACCTGTTCTACCCGCTGCTATAGGTTAATTGGTAGGAATTATTTCACTAAATTATTGTTATATAAAAACAAATAAAGTAAGATTTCTAACAATCTGACAATATTTCTGAAAACGCTTACCAGCACGTTGTAGGTTATTTAAACGAGTAACGGCTTGGTAAACAGTTGAAAATGAACCAATCAATCTTGACTGTAACCAGACAGGGCGGGCAGAAATTTGAATGACTTATCTTGAACCTGACTAACCTGAGCTCACTTATCCTTGTATCAAACCTATTCGAAAAACGATTTGAAACATAAGTGAGCTCGGTTAGTGAGGCTCGTGAACAGTTTATATTACAGCATTTAACATTCCACCCACGAGGAATATATGTGGCACAAGGCCGAGTTTAAAGTGGGTTTCTCCGAGCCCGTAGGCTCAGCCAAAAAGTACCCCGCTTTGAACCCGGGAATTGTCTACCTCCCCGGACGAAACTTTGCCCTTCGGCAAAGCCTTGTCTGGGTTCCTCTCTGACAAAGCAGAGAGTTTGACAGACGTTGCACACAGTCAGACACTGTATCTCGATAACATTTTTTCCAAGCGTAGTTTGGATGTGGCACAAGGCCGAAAGTAAGGGGAACCCAGTGAACAGTTTATATTACACAGGAATACGTATGATTACTGTTAACTGATTAAAACACATATAACAGACACACGTAGCTGTCTGAATTTTCTGATATAATTTCACGCCAATCTCCTAGGACACAATGAGTCATTGGGTGCTAGAGAATATGCAAATAATATACTATTAAGGAGAGAGAAGAATAAAAGTATAAAAATTAAGAAGACCGTAGATGACGTCTGATATTCCATTTAAGCATTTGAAGATCAATGTTAACTGGGAAGCCAGAAGCCGGAAGAGAGTTCCACAGACGAGAAGTGCGATAGAAGAAACTGTTAGTTTACATCTATCCATTTCAAATATAAAATGAGGGGACCCTCCTGATAATCTGGTACTGCGTTTAAATTCATAAAGTCTAGGTACCATGATATGCATTGCTTTTTTTCTTAGATCAATTGTTACGTCAATGAGCTGACATTTTCTTCTGACTGCCTTCACCCATGTAACTATTTTTCCATCAACTAA